GCTCTTGCAGAGGTCCTGAATTCAGTCCCCGACATTCACGTTTGCGCTGAGTGGCTTACAAACAACTGTTAAACTCCAGCCTGAGAGGATCTGACACCCTCTTTTGGCCTCTTCAGGCACCCGCCCTGATATGCACATACACACAGATGCCATATAAGTGCAGATGTCAGTGGAGGCCGGGAAAGGTGTTGGATCTCTTGGAGCTGGAGTTGCTACCGGTTGTGAGCCACTCAACGTGGGTGTTGGTAACCAAACTCAGGTCCTCTAGAAGAGCTGTAAGAACGCTTCACTGCCGAGCCATCTCTGCAGCATTACACTCTCCCCTTCCCAGTTTAGAGAGTATCCAGTGTGTGGCCTTCAATTCTCAATCCTTCTGCCTCAGCTTCCTCAGTGCTAGACATGCCACCACATCCAGTGTGAGCCTGACCTTTTGAAAACGACTAAGACACCATGCTCCCTTCTCTGCTTGGGTACCTCATTCACAGGCCTTGGGTTTATAGGTTGAGGCTGAACCATGAGTTGTGGTCCCCCCTCCCCATGATGAAGTTTCCACTATCCTGAATCATTATTCTAGTGGTTGGTCCTCTCAAGATCTCTGGGCGGTTTCAACAGGGTGACTAGGTGTCCTGGGGTCTGACAGGTCAAAATGTCCTAGCAGAGTGGAGATGCAGGTCTGGAGCCATGATAAATGAAACAAACCCAGCATTCTAAATTCCATTTGACCCCTCCAACTTACCGTAGGATTTAGAGCCATACCATCCACCCACTGGTCCTCATTTCCTTCTAAGGTAACATTTCCAGTGGAGGACAGTGTGTGGTAGTGTCATTTGTGGGAAGAAAAAGACACAGCTCCACAATGCCATCCTTGGGAGCCTGATGAGTACCCCTAGGTTTTTAGGGACCAAGACTCGGGGTAAACCAGAATTTGTGGCTTCTATGCTAAAAAGAATTTCAATATCAGCCAGTTTGTGATTGTCGAGAGCAAGAAGGTAGATATGAGTAGTTTTAGTATAACAAAAGTTATATTTTATTATTCTAAGTCTATCTCCCCAAGGCTGCTCACCTGTGTGTCATATCTTAGCTGAATGACAGGTCCAGTCTCTAACACAACTCTCTGATTCGAGGGTGAGGATTCTGGGAGAGACTCTCTAGCCACAGGGCAGATCAAAGTGACATCTCTCCAGATATGCAGAGCAGAGCATTTTTCTTGGTCTCTGCTTATAGACTGTCCAGTGGGCGTCATGGAGTCTAGGACTGTGTCTGGTTGTCTGGAGTGAGTAATGTCACTGGGTTCTGGTTATCAAATGCAGCTGTGGGTCTAGTGGAGCTCGTGACTAAGCTTTTTTTTTTTTTTTTTTGGAGCTGAGGATCGAACTCAGGGCCTTGCGCTTGCTAGGCAAGCGCTCTACCACTGAGCTAAATCCCCAACCTGACTAAGCTGTTTTTACATGTCTAAAAGCCATTTTTTACTATGCTCAATACAATGATGAAGTAGAGTCAGAGATTTTTTTTTTGCTTTTAATTTTTTTGAGACAGAATCTCACTATGTATCCCTGATTGTCCTGGAACTCACCCTGTAGACCAAGCTAGCCTTGAACTCAAAGGTCTGCCTGCCTGTGTCCCGAGTGGAGTGCTGGGATTGAAGGTATGTGCCACAACACCCAGCTGATTAAAAACAAACAAACAAACAAACAAGTAAAAACATTTATTCAGAATGGTGAGCTGACAGAGCAAGATCCCATAACCTGTGGGAGTTGGTTCTGTCTACCGCGTGCATCCCAGAGACTGACTCGAGGGCGTCAGGCTCAGCCATAGGAACCTTGACCCACTGTTCTCTTGTGCTGCCCTGAGTTGGAGGTTTTGTTAAAGATCACTTTAATACAGGTTTAATCTGAAGGGTTAAGAGAAAGAGCGGTGCTTAGAAGAAAACAATACACATCTGTATGTCTGTATGTGCTTCCTAAGGAAGAGCCATAGAAAGAAGGATGTAAGCCAGGTGGGAATGGACTCCTCAGGGAAGAGTAAGCAATTGTCTCAGTATTAACCAAACCTACCATTTTGGCGGCTGTCGTCTCAAAAGATCAATAATAGGAGCTGGAGAAATGACTCAGGATAAAAGCACTCACTGCTTCTCCAGAGGACCTGAGTTTGGTTCCCAGCATCCATGTTAGGCTGCTCACTCCTGCTCACTCCCAGCACCCATGTTAGGCTGCCTGTAACTCCTCTTTCAAGGGATCCAGTGCCCTCTTCTGGCCTCTGGGGATGCCTGCAGTCAGTGCACATATACTCACAGAGACACAGACACACACAGACACACACACACACAAAATAAAACTTAAATCTTTTTTTTAGAGGTTACTAAGAAACACACCTCATCTATTGTCTTTTATTTGTTAAGTGAGATAATAGGTAGGTCTGTACATGCCTAGGACGGCATTATAATCTGATAAACCAAAAACAAAGGTCCAGGCAGGGTTGAATACAAGTCTTTTTCCTAAAAATGGACTTTCTAGTGAGAATCTTAGAAAACTGAAGATTTATAGTCGGGAAGGGAGAAAGGCCTTGTCTTAGGGTTTCTATAGCTGTGAAAAGATACCACAACTACGACAACTCTTATAAAGGAAAACATTTAATTGGGGCTGGATTACAGTTTCAGAGGTTTAGTCCATTATCATCATGGTGGGAAACATGGTGACATGCAGACAGACATGGTGCTGGAGAAGGAGCTGAGAGTTCTCCATCTTGATCCACAGGCAGCAGAAGGAAACTGTGTGACACATGGGGCTTAGCTTGAGCACACGAGACCTCAAAGCCCGCTGCCGCCACACTGACATACTTCCTCCAACAAGGCCATACCTAACAGTTCCACTATGGGCCGAGCATTCAAACACGTGGGTCTACGGGGGTCATTCCTATTCAAACCACCACAGACCTTAAGCAGTTGTTAGTTGTGCTGGGGTTCTTTTTAAAAAATATCGCTGGGCAGTGGTGGCACATGCCTTTGGTCCCAGCACTCGGGAGGCCGAGGCAGAACTCTTGAGTTCGAGGCCAACCTGGTCTACAGAGAGAGTTCCAGGACAGGCACCAAAGCTACATAGAGAAACCCTGTCTCAAAAAAACAAAACAAAACAAAACAAACAAAACGAAAAAACCCTCAATTTTTTGTTAATGTGTATGCATGTGTCTGTATGAACATACACGATATATATGTGGTGTGCAGGGATTCTTGGTTCTCTCTTGGCGAGAGATTTTAACCAGGTTCTAAGATGAAAGCGCTCCTTCCCCCTTCTCATCTCACTAAGATTTTTCCTGCCTCACTATTTTGCCTTAGTAGGGATATGAACTCCGGGGCTTCTCCCATCTGTGACCAAAAGATACTCCATTGTACCACCTTGCTAGGACCAACAGACAGAATAACCTACTCTCAAAAGGCTATCATTAGCAAAAATCAGTGGGGTGCCAATGAGAAGGATTGGCAGGCAAAGGTGCTTACTGCCCAGCCTAAGGACATGAGTTCGATCCCCTGGACCCAGGTGTAAAAGGAGTGACTCAATTCCTGCAAATTATCTTCTGACCTCCACAATATACTAGCAGGCATTTGACTATAATACATACAAGTACATACACACATAGAATTAGGTAGATAGAGAAATAAATGTGAACTTTCTATTACCCAGAAGAATTAAATTAACCCAAACAAACCACTGCTAAAATGAATGAGGTTCTGTTAGCCATACCTATCATGGACAGTCATTATCTTCATCACAGAGGCTGCAACTACCAGGGGCCCTCAAGGTTGGGCCGATTCTCTTATAGAATGAGAAGTATGAGAAAGGTCCCTGGACCCTCATTTGCTATCTCACCCACCCCCTCCCATACCTTTTAGTTCGCAGTATGCAGTTCTGCCTTGTCTATGAGCTTGTGGCCCTGGGAAGTACTACAGTGTATAGACTACAGAAGCCTAAGGGAATTGGGGGAACTCTATCTATGCAAGGGAAAACTTTGGCTGGATTTTAGGAGGAGCAGGTCATATTTGTCTTCCCAAGCAGAAAATAACACAAGAGCTACAAATCGGCGGTGGTGGCACACGCCTTTACTCTCAGCACTCAGAGGCAGAGGCAGGCAGATCTCTGTGAGTTCGAGGTCAGCCTGGTCTACAGAGTGAGTGCCAGGACAGCAGGACTATATAAAGAAATCTCAATCTCTCTCTCTCTCTCTCTCTCTCTCTCTCTCTCTCTCTCTCTCTCCCTCCCTCCCTCCCTCCCTCCCTCCCTCCCTCCCTCTCTCGAATTGGTTTTTCAAGACAGGGTTTCTCTGTGTAGTTTTGGTGCCTGCCCTGGGTCTTGCTCTGTAGACCAGGCTGGCCTCGAACTCACAGAGAGCCGCCTGGCTCTGCCTCCCTAGTGCTGGGATTAAAGGTGTGTGCCACCACCACCCAACAAAACCTGTCTCAAATAACAACAACAACAAAGCAAAACTAAAAATTAGTCAACAGTTAAGTGTGCGCATTCTTTTTCAGTAGGACTATCCCCAAGGAACTGTGGCTAGTTTGAGTGGAGACATTATGTAAGTACAAAATGTATACAAAGTAGTGAAAATTTAGGACAGTAAGAGAGATTTAAGGGCTATGGAGAGGGCTTGGTGGGTTGTTTGCTACGCAGCAAGCATAAGGATCTGAGTTTGGGTCATCAGCACGCATTTAAAAGTCAGGCGTGGTACGTACGCATCTGTAGCCCCAGCGCTGGGAGGAACAGAGGTAGGCAGGCTCCAGAGGCTCCTAGATCGTCTGTCTAACCAATGTGGTGAGCTAAAGGTTCAGTAAAGAGACCCTGTTTCGGGCTGGAAAGATGGCTCTGGACCCTACGGAAGCACGATGCGGGAAGAGAGCATGCGCACCTGGTGAAGTAAGGATGGTTTCTGTGATCCCTAGAGGGGAGGGACTCCGGGGCTCCGGGGAGGGCTGTGTGGGCGGAGGTGGCTGAAGGCGGAGACAGGCGAGCGCTGCGTCTCTACGCACAGCCACACGAAGCTGCCACTGCGGAGCTCCAGCCCAGCACCCTGCGCATCGGCCGGGAGCCCCTCGGCATCCACGCTGCGCCATGGCCAAGGCCACCGATGTCTGGTCCGACCTCGGCCTCGTCTTCTTGCTCGCCTGCCTCCTGCCCTTGGGCCCAGCGAAGGTGGCTGCAGGTAAGCCAGATTCTGCCTGGAGCTGTCCAGTGCTATCCAGAACCTGAGCTACCGAGATGACTCGGTGCGTCCTACCCCTGCTGGGCACCCCTCTGCCCAGAAGTCACCCAGGCACTTGAGGCGTCTCCCTGCTCCCCCTCGATGCCTGCCTCCAGCACTCTGCCCTGGGAAGCACATCCATCCGGATGCTTGGGACTGGTACTCACTAGGGGAGGGACAGGGAGCATGGATGCATGCAGGGAACCCCGGATGGGTTGGGAGAGGTCATCGCGCCTCAGCCACCCCCAGGGAGAACCGCCCCCTTTGCCTGCATGGGGCAGCGCTTTTGCTTTAAGATGTCGCCTTTTTCTAGAGATTTCCACCGTGATTGCGTTCGCTTAGGGGCGGCGCAGGTGCTAGTCTGCAGCCCAGGAGGCCAGTCTGCCATTTCCTCCCTGGGAATGATTTAAAAAAGGGGGAGGGGGCCCTTGAGCCGACAGATTCTTCCCTAGGCTCACCAGGACCCATCTCTCCGTGATGAAAAGACCAACATCAACCTTCCTACCCCATTTTAGGAGTAACAAACGACACAGATTCGAGAATTGTCAGAGACCGGTGGGTTGTGAGTAGCTGGAGGAAAAAAAACAAAAAACAAAAACAAAAACACCACATCATTCTTCACAACGCATCTGCCCATTAAAAGAGAGGTAGGGGAAGGGGGGGACCTGGTGCAGATTTGTGAGAACGGCAGAGCCACGAAGTAAATTAAAAATAAAATAAAAAAAACAACCTGCGGTTTTGGCATGCATCAGAGGATTTTGTGGGCATTTTGCATGTATTAAATTACCTGTACCCTCCCCCACTCCTGGAAATTCAACATATAATTCATCTAGAAATGGACACCCTGATCCATTGGGTTATATGTGTCTAGAAGTTACATGATTTAAATTACAACAAATACACAACTAAATATCTATTTGTCTGTCTGTCTATCTATCTATTTATTTCAAGGCAGGATTTCTCTGTATAGCCCTGGCTGTCCTGGAGCTCACCCTGTAGCCAGCCTGGCCTGGAGCTCAGAGATCCTCCCACCTCAGGCTTCCCGGCGCTGGGATAAAGGCATGTGCCATCTTATCAGGCAATATTTATTTTGAGATGAGGTCTTCATGAATTGCCCAGGCTGGCCTCTAACTTGCACACCCCCCTATTTCCCCTACCTAGTGCTGGGATTATAAGCATGAGTCACCACTCTAGTCACACACACACCACACACACACACACACACACACACAATAAAAATAAAAATTTCCCCCAATGGGGTCTTATGTAGCCCAGGCTGGCCTAGAACTCTTGATCCTCTTGACTTACCTCTTTAATCCCAGCATTGGGAGGCAGAGGCAGGTGGATTTCTGTGTTATTTAGACCATCACAGGTGTGTTTGGTAAGTGTTTTTGGCTGCCTAACATGTGCTATGTGAAAAGGCCACCGTAGTCATTTTCTAGAACGTTCCAAGCCTCACATGTATCATGGGAAAACACTGAGGCTCTGGTAACCTGTTAGGAAACTGGGGTCATGCTTTTGAGGGCGTTGCCCCTTCTTTCTGTCTTGGCACATCTAGTTCTATGTCACTTGAGTGCACGTGGGTACCCCCAAGTCCTTGTCTTGGTCGCTGGTTGTGCTCTGTGTACATCTGGGCTCCCAAACAAGAAAGATGAATTTGGATGAGCAGAGTCACAGGGGATACACTGGGTCTCATTCCTTCAGCTGCACTTGGCAAAGGTCTTCACTGTCCACTTTAGCATGGATACCCTTGGATACTTCCCAAAAGCCCAGAGGAAGAGGGAGGTCACCTTGACCTAGTGAAAGGGGTCCAGGGCCACTCCCCCACCCCTCTTTTAGACAGGCTCTCATGTAACCTGGGAGGCTTGTGTCAAACTCACACAGCCAAAGATGACCTTGAGCTTCTAATCCTCCTGCTTCCACCTCCAGAGTTTCATTTATGTAGACTAAGCTAGCCTTGAACTCACAGAGATCTGCATACCTTGGCCTCTCGAGTGCAGTAAAGACATGCTACACCACCATGCCTGGTGCAGTTTCTGTTTTTAGTTTCTTTTTTTTAAAATTTATGAGCATCCACATGTATCAGCGTGAATGTATGCTCACGTGTGTTTGAATGCCTATAGAGACTAGAAGAGGGCTTTGGAGTCCCAAGATCAGGACGCGTGTGAGCTGCCCATAGTAGATGCTGGGAACTGAATTCAGGTCCTATGCAAGAACGGCAAGGGCTCTTAACCACCGAGCCATCCCTCTCGCCCAGCTTCTGTTTTTTAAAAGACCTTTGTGGTCTCCTCCAGGCAGGGCTGGTGGGAGTTGCCATGAGCTCGGCAACCATTTTCAACAACATCGTCAGTGGGTCCTCCTCCTTCCCGGCTCCAGCCAGCTGCCCCCTGATTCCATTTCCATGGCAACCAATCTGCGTCAGCCTGCTCTCACTGCAGATGCAGGATGGCAATTAACATGCAGCTTAGTGTTCCTGCCACCTTAGAGCCTCACTCTGGTCCTTGTTCCTCCTCCACTTGAGTGGGAGGGAGGAGGGGGTGGGTGGTAGTAGTGATGGGGGGAGCAGAAACAGGTAAGAGCCCTTGAGGAAAGGGACATGCTGCCTGCCAACTAGAGGGAGGGCAAATAGTCCTGGGGGACAGCAGCAGTAGCCCTTTCCTTTTGTATTACGTACTTGCCTGGGTGCTATGGCAAAACAGCTGGAAATGGGGCTGTATAGATGCCTCAGAGAGTAAAGGCACTTGCTGCCAAAGCTGAAGACCTGCATTTGATTCCTGGAACCCACACATTAGATGGGGAAAACTGACCCCTGCTACATGTCCATTATGATACACACATTCGCACGTATGTTCAAGAGCACACACACACACACACAACCCCCCCCCCCAAAGATAAATAAATGACTGTTCAAAAATAGAGTCCATCATGTCAGGGAATTTATGGCAGCAGGGGCCATGGCAGCGGGTCACATTTCATATACAACCAGGTGGACCTCTGTGAGTTCGAGGCCAGCCTGGTCTACATAGAGAGTTCCAGCACAGCCAGGACTACATAGAGAGATCCTGTCTCAAAACGAAACTAAATCCCACCATGTTGACCATATTAACCCTCAAACCCACGGTATCCAGGATAGCAGTGGCAGCCCATGCCTTTAGCATTATGACTCAAACAGCTTTATAACTCAACGAATGGGTTTGAAGAAAAGGGATTCGTAACAGGAACACAGGGCAGAACAACAGAAAAGACTGAAGCTCGAGTCCCCAGTTGGGACCGGGAATGTTGTGAGGTAAACAAGGGGCACATTTGCAGACGGACTCTTCTGGTTCTGCTGAAGACTCCAGCAGGTATCCTGTGAACTCACTGTGAGGAAGACCATGTCCATGCTAGGTTACCCAGCACCTGTGGGAGTGGGGCACGCAGAAGGGGTTCAGTCAGTAACCCCCATGTGAACAGTCTTCTGCGACAGTGCTAGGTGGTCTGGACTTCATGCCACATCTTCCTTTTCAGGTAATCACGTGGCTCAGAAGTACCACTGAACACTAACCATACAGTTTGTGTGTGTGTGTGTGTGTGTGTGTGTGTGTGTGTGTGTGTGTGCGTGCGCGCGCGCGCATGGGTATACACAATGGTGCACATGCATTCATGTGCATGTTCCTGTATGTGGAGGTGAGAGGGTGACCTGAGATGTCTTTCTCAGATTCTGTCCATCTCTGGCTGCCTCATAATTAGCCACTAATAACATTGGGTTGTGATTAAACACTTGGGTTTTTGCTAATATGGCCTTGAGGCCAAATTCTTAGTTTTAATCAAATTTAAACAATCACAGTAGAATCTGGAGCTCATTAATTCCATTAGGTTGACTGGTTGACTAGAGATCCTCCTGTCCCCACCTCCCCAGTCCAGGGATAGGTGTACCTCATCATGCCTGACTTTTTACATGGGTCTGGGGGATTGAACTCAGGTCCTCACGCCTATACAACAAGCCCTCTTATCCACAGAGCCATGTCCCGAGCTTCTTACTACACAGTAAGCATTTTGCTTGCACAATAAAGAAGCAGATGACCCTTGTCCTCAAGGAATTATAAGTACACTGGGAGAGAAGAGGAAATCTTCATTCAGTACGGTGATATCTCAGTGGCAGTAGTGTACCCAGTCTGTCAGGAGAGCACTGAGGGGTCAGGGCACAGGAAAGCTTCCTGAAAGACTTCCTGTGGGACAGAAGGTAGAACAGGAATTCTTTTTATTTTTAGATTTATTTTCACTAGAGTGTTTGCATACCCAGGGACCCAACTCGGGTCGTCAGGCTTGGCAGCAAGGGCCGTTGCCCACTGAGCCAGGATATACAAAAACCCTGAAGTCAGAAGGACCAAAGCATCCTGGGAACTGGAAAGTTTTTATTTTTTAGACAGGGTCTCACTATGTAGCCCTGCCTGGCCTAGAATTCACTATGTAGACCAGGCTGGCCTCGAATTCACAGAGATCCGCTTGCCTCAGCCTCCTGAGCGCTGGGATTAAAGGTGTGCGCCCCTGTGCACCTCCTGAAACTGCAAGGGTGGCTGGCTGCCAGGTGGTAGGTCCCCAGGTATGAATCTAGACCCCAAAGGAAGGTTCATGATTACATTAAATCGAATTCCAGACACTTGTTGGAGCAACAAGAGATAAGACATAAAGCCGGTCACTTGACTGGAAAATTCAGGAGAAGTCTGAGTTTGCAGTTTTTAATTCCTGGCCATTTCACACTTCTCAGCCACCACCAGCCACAGACAGCCCAGCAGGATGCTTTTTAAAGTCCTATGTACTTAGTGTACTGGTCACATCTTACATGTCGGGCTTTGGTGCAGGGGCAGGTGGGAAAGCCTTTCTGTAGGGGCAGGGCTTCCCTGTCTCTTTGTGAAAGTATTCAAATTATTAAAAACGTATCTTTCAGCTGGGCGGTGGTGGCGCACGCCTTTAGTCCCAGCACTTGGGAGGCAGAGCCAGGCGGATATCTGTGAGTTCGAGGCCAGCCTGGGCTACCAAGTGAGTTCCAGGAGAGCCGCAAAGCTACACAGAGAAACCCTGTCTCGAAAAAAAAAAAAAACAAACCAAAAAACAACAAAAAAAAAAACAAAAAAAACGTATCTTTCAAACAAACAAACAAACAAACAAACAAACAAAAAAGAGACAAGACATAGATCAGGGCCAAGAGCAGAAATCAGATGACTGTAGGTGGGGCCCCTGGAAATGGGATATGTTGTCTGAATCTTACATGGTCTTTTAATAAAAAAAAACCCCAGAGCCAGATATCAGGGTGAAAGCTGAAAGATCAGAGAAGCAGAACAGCCAGCCACTAGTTCTTACCTCTACGAAATCCTCAGCCTAAGGAGAGTGAGTTCCTCTTTCCTCACGCCTTATATACACCTTTCTCTGCCCTGCCATGCCACTTCCTGGGATTAAAGGCGTGTGTGCTTCCCAAGCAAAGGCCTGAGATCTCAGGTGCTGGGATTAAAAGTGTGTGCCACCACTGCCTGACCTCTATGTCTAATTTAGTGGCTGGCTCTGTCCTCTGATCCTCAGACAAGTTTATTAAGGTACACAATATATCACCCCAGGGATAGAGTGGTGATGTAGAAGAGGGAGGGGTACCCAAAAAAGAGAAAATCAGAGAGGCCTGTGGCTGGTGTTTGGGACAGCTGGCTTTTTTGTTGTTGTTGTTGTTCTACAGCACAGGCTGGCCTCAAATTCACTATGTAGCTGAGGATGGCCTTGAACTTCTGGACCTCCTGTTTCCACCTCCTGAGTTCTAGGATTATTGGTGTTTGTCACCATCATTCGTGGAATGGGAGGGATGGAACCCAGAGCTTCATTCACTCCAGGCAAGCACTCTACCTGCTTAGCTGTGTACCCAGCCCCCGACCTGACCCCAGCTGGCTCTTTTCACTCTAACAAGAAGTGAGGAGAGAGCAAAAATTCAGAGACTCAACTACCCATGAGTAATGGGGCTTTGAGCAAACAGAAGTATTCTGTGTGCCTCGAGAAGATCGACCCGCTAGCCACATTGTTGTTAAACACAGGAAACAGAATGCTTAAGTAAATGTAAGCAGTCACATTAGGTTAATTTACACTTAGTTACACGTGGTTACAATGTAGACTGACTAGAAAGGGAATACATACTATCAACGCCTAGGAAGACTTGAGCCTCAAACAGGGACTTTGGCTGGGAAAGTGGGTTTGGGTGAAATGAGTCTCAGGCTGGTTGTGATGGCATGAGACTGCAACCAGAGTACTCTAGAGGGGGAGGCAGGAGGATTGCCACAAGTTCAACACCAGTCTGGACTATGTAGGAAGGATCAGGCCTTTTATTTATTTATTTATTTATTTATTTATTTTTTTTAAACAAGGTCTTCATAGCTTGTTCAGTTCGCTTTCTTTTAGCACTCAGAACCTTCAGCCCAGGGATGGCACCACTCATAATGGGTTGGGCCCTCCCCAATCAATCACTAACTAAGAAAATGCCCTACAGCCCAATCTTATGGAAGTATTTTCTCAATTGAGGTTCCCTCCTCTCAGGTGACTCTCTCTTGTATCAAGTTGACATAAAACCAGCTGCAACAATTATTATTACTTTTTTTTTCAAGACAGGGCTTCTCTGTGTAGCTTTGTGCCTTTCCTGGATCTCTCTCTGTAGCCCAGGCTGGCCTTGAACTCACAGAGATCCACCTGGCTCTGCCTCCCAAGTGCTGGGATTAAAGGCGTGCGCCACCACTGCCCGGCTGAAATTATTATTATTTTAATTATGTGCGTGTGTGCATATGTGCCTGTGGTTTTGTGGGCATGAGTGCAGTGCCAGAAGTGGCCAGAGAGGGCATCATATCCCTCCAGAGCTGGAGTTATAGATGGTTGTAAACTGCCAGATGCCAGTGCTGGAAACTGAACTCCATTCCTCTGCAAGAATAGTACATACTTTTCACTGCTGAGCCATCACTCCAGCCCTGTCTCCTGCCCTATTTTGTTCTCTCTCTCTCTCTCTCTCTCTCTCTCTCTCTCTCTCTCTCTCTCTTTGGAGACAGGGTTTCTCTGTGTAGCCCTGGCTGTCCTAGAACTTGCTTTGTAGACCAGGCTGACATCGAACTCAGAGATCCACCTGCCTCTGCCTCCTGAGTGCTGGGATTAAAGGCGTGCGCCACCATCGCCCAGCTTCTGTTTCTTTTTCTTCTTCTTTTTTCTTTCTTTTCTTCTTCTTCTTCTTCTTCTTCTTCTTCTTCTTCTTCTTCTTCTTTTTTGTTTTGTTTTTCGAGACAGGGTCTCTGTGTAACAGTCCTGGCTGTCCTGGAACTCACTTTGTAGACCAGGCTGGCCTCGAACTCACAGAGATTCACCTGCCTCTGCCTCTCAAGTGCTGGGACTAAAGGCGTGCATCACCACTGCCTGGCTCTGTTCTGTTTCTTTAGATGGAGTCTCACTATATAGCCCAGACTGGCCTTGAACACAGTCATTACATAGCCCAGGGTGGATTCAAATATTCAGTCCTCTTGCCTCAACCTCCCTGGTGCTGGCATGACTGGCATACACCACTGATCTTAGTTCCATTTTACTATTAGTTACTATTGTTAATCTCTTATTGTGACCGATTTAAAGTTCACCATGAATTGTATGTATGAATGAGTAAGAGAATGAACAAACAAGGAAAAAAAACACAGGATACTTTGGGTCTGGTGCTGTCTTTGATTTCAGACATCAGGTAGGGGTCTTGGTAAGGATCCCCTGTAAATAAATAGGGACATTCTGTGATGCTACATTTATTTTGTGGGGGGCGGTGGGCAGAGGAAGACTTGGGGGAGTTGGCTTTCTTCTTGGACTGGGGAATCAAACTCGCATCATCAGAGTTGGTGTGATGTGCTATCTCGCTGGCCCCACTGTTATCACTGATGACTGGAAAACTAACTGAGGAAGTCCTCGTTGTCTTCCTGAAACCTGGCCTACATGTGTCTCCTAGGTCTCTATAATCTCAGTCTTGCTACTGATGGTCCTGCTACCGTTGGTACAGAAGTGACCATCTCAGCCAACCTGACGGTCAAGGACAATGGCAGCCTGTCCCTGCCTGCAGACACCCACCTCTACCGTTTCCACTGGGTCCACACACCACTGATACTCACTGCCAAGACTGAGAAGAATCTAACCTCGACCATCCACGTGGTGGGCAGAGTGGCTGGGGACTTCTCAGTCTCTGTCTGGGTCACTGCTGTCGACTGCTGGATGTGCAAGCCGCTAGCCAGGAGTGCCCTGGTACTCCCCATCAAAGGTGAGGGTCTCTCAGGGCCTTTCACGTTTGCCTATTTGCTTTCAAGCTCTTTCATGTTGTGCAACCCAGGGCCTCGGACATGCTGTGTAAGTGCTTCACCACTGAGCTACACTACCAGGCCTGCTTTCAAGTCTTGTGCATGTGTGTTTGTGTCTGTATGTTTGTGTGTGTGTGTGTGTGTGTGTGTGTGTGTGTGAGAGAGAGAGAGAGAGAGAGAGAGAGAGAGAGAGAGAGAGAGAGAGAGAGTGTGATCGCACCTCTGGGTTGTTCTTCAGGCAGCATCCACCTTTTTTTTTTGTTTGTTTTTTTTTGAGACAGGATCTCTCATTAGCGAGCTCACCAATTATACAGGCTGGCTAGCCAGTATGCCCCAGCACTGGGATTATGTAGTTGGAATTTTCTTTGGGCCAACAACTAGCTCCCAAATAAAGACAATTATTATTAATTATGAAGGCTCGGCCTTAGCTTAGGCTTGTCCCACTAGCTCTTTTAACTTAATTTAACCTGTTTCTGTTCATCTTTGTGTGTGTGTGCCTGGTGCTCTAGGAGGTTGCTTTGGGGTTTTCTAATTTTCTTCCTTTCTGTATGTCCTGCTTTCCTGCTTTCTCTGTGTCTGGCTGGCTGGCCCCTGGCGACTCCTTCTCATCTCCTTTTCTTTCTATCCTGTGCCTAAATTCCTCCTCCTCCTCCTCCTCCTCCTCCTCCTCCTCCTCCTCCTCCTCCTCTTCCTCCCTCTCACTACCCAGAAGTCCCACCTATACCTTCTCCCCCATTCGTTGCTGTTCAGCTTTTTATTAGATCAGTCAGGTACCTTAGGCAGGCAAGGTGAACCAGCAACACATCTTTACATAATTAAACAAATGCAACACATCTTTACATAGTTAAAGAAATTTTCTGCAACAGGACTACAAATGTAATCTACCACTATGCCCAGCTTTTTTGAAAACGTGTGGGTTTGGGGGATCAAATTCAGGTTCTTATGCTTTCAAAGCAAGCACATCACCAACTGAGCCATCTCACACGGATTCTTTCTTGATTCTTCGTTAAGTTAAAAAAAAATCAGAAAATAGGGTCAGCAAGATGGTTCAGTGGGTAAAGGTGCTTGTTGCAAAACCTAAGGACCTGAGTTTGATCCCCAGGACCTACATGGGGGAAAGAGAGAACCCACTCTTGAAAGTTACCCTCTCACCTTGACATCCGTATCATGGCATGGGTGCACACACAGACCAATACACATACAAAATAAATAAGTAGATAAATAAATTTAATTAAAATCTTTCACTTAAAAAAAAAAAGGACTGGAGAGTTGGCTCAGTGGTTAAGGGCATTTGTTGCTTTTGAAGACGATCCTGATTCAATTTCCAGCCCTTTCGTGGCAGCTCACAACTATCTGTAAGTCTAACCCAAGGTGATCCAACATCCTTTTCCGACCTCCTAGAGCACCAGGCACACACACTCATACACAGAAAACAATTAAAAAAAAAAAATAAAGAATCAAGACCAGAGAAATGGTTTGGCAGTTCAGAGGGCTTGCTGCTCTGGCAGAGGTCCAGAGTTAGTCCCACCTTCTGGGACTTACAGTCCAAATTAATTTGCCTTCAGGAAATAAGGTTTCATTTAGGTAATGTTTTATGCACAAGATGATGTGAATAGAAAACATATATAAACAAGTGAAATACTCATCCTTTAGGGGACTGATTAAAGACACTGGAGTAATTATGTGCCTTTTCCAGGAGTTAGGAGAGGAAAAAAGTCTTGTTAGAGAGTCCAGGCTAGTTTTGAACTCAAGAAGATCTTCCTACCTCAGCTTCTCAGTGCTAGGATTATAGACATATGCCATGACACACAGCTAATGTATGTAAGTATTTAAAAAATTTTTTACTACATTTATTTATTTAGTGAGGGTGTACATGTATGTGGGTACCTGTACCATGGTGTTCATGTGGAGGTCAGAGGACAACTTGCAGGAGTTAATTTTCTCTTTCTACTGTGTGGGACCTGGGGATTGAACTCAGATCATCAGATGTGATGGTAGGTGCCTTTACCTACTGAGATGCCATCTCAGTAGCCCCAGTTTGTGTAATTATTTATTAATCATGACCCTTTCAGTGAGTCTATATGTCCTGAGTGAAAATGCCCATGCTTTTAAAATGATATAGGAAGTAATGCAAGCATAGAATTATGTAACTAAGTCTATAAACGCTAACGTAAATGTATGCAGTTGCCACAGAGGCCAGAAGAGGGCACTACAGCTACAGATGTTCTGTGAGTCATCCATCGTAGATGCTGGGATCTAAAATTCTGGTCCTCATGATAGAGCACCAGATGCTCTTAACCACTGCACCATCTCTCCAGTTCTATCCCCCACTATTTTTTTGGTGTTGGGGATGGAACTCAGGGCCTCCTGTGTGTTAGGCAATTGCTTCATTTCTGAGCCACATTCCCTGCTACTCATATATCCTATGCCTTATAGTATCTGATACAATATAAACACTATGTTAAGTAGTTGTTATGTTGTATTTCTTAGAGGACATTAACAACAGCAAAAATAGTCTATATGTATTCAGTTATGATGCATACTTTTTTTTGTTTGTTTTGAGACAGGGTCTCATGTAGCCCAGGCTGACCTTCAACTCACTGTGTAGCCAAGGATGGCTTTGAACTCTTGATCCTCCTGTCCCAGCCTCCCAGGTGCTGGAATTACAAGCGTGGGCATCATGTCCTGCTTCAGCCCATGCCTTTCTTCATGGCGGGTAGCCCTTTTGCCAGGAAGAATGGAATCACTGTGAAAGGGAGGTGGGGCAGGGGCACAGATTGAGCATGTGCTGTAAGTCACTGCCAGCAGGAGGTGACTAGAATGTCTCTGTCTTGAAGGATCTATGGGATCCCCTGCACTGCACATAGTTCTGACAGCCGGAGGAGGCTGAGCCAGGCTGCTTTGCTCCAGCCCAAGGTCACAACTCAGGCTATGGGTGCCTCGTGCCTCTGTGGACTCACTCTCCCTTTGTCATTCTCAGAGTCGCTTGTGGGAAAACTAGTCATTACCCAAAACACCTCCGTGTCTTGGCCGAACGCCTACCTCACCAATAAAAGCCTTAGATTCTCCTTTTTCCTCCATGACCCGAGCGACTTCTTCAAGTTGGCCTCCTTCTTCTACCGATGGGACTTCGGAGACGGGTATGCATCCTCCTTCCCCCCACCCCCTCCTCCCACCCCTTTTCCGGGATCTCACTACATAACCTTGGCTGCCCTGGAACTCATTATACAGACCAGAATGGTCTTAATTGCAGAGGTACACCCGCTTCTTCCTCTCAAGGATTAAAGGTATGGGCCACCATGGCCAGCTATTTATTCTTTTAAAAAAATTGCCCATCAGGTGGCGGTGGAGCACACCTTTAGTCCCAGCACTCAGGAGGCAGAGGCAGAGGCAGGTGGATCTCTGTAAGTTCGAGGCCAGCCTGGCCTACAAAGAGAGTTCCAGGACAGCGAGGACTACACAGGAATATTCTCTCTCTGTCTCTCTCTGTCTCTGTTCGAAGTTCAGAGGACAGCTTGTGAGAGTTAGTGTTCTCTTTCCACCACATGAATCCTGGGGATCAACCAAACTCAGGTCATTAGACTTGGTAACAAGTACTTTTACCCGCTGAGCCGTATTATTAACTTCAGATTTGTAGATTTAATTGTTCTTGGTTTGGTTTTTTTCAAGGTTTGTTTTTATTTTTCTTTTCTTTTCTTTTCTTTTTTTTTTTTTTTTTTTTTTTTTTTTTTGGTTTTTCGAGACAGGGTTTCTCTGTGTAGTTTTGCGCCTTTCCTGGAACTCACTTTGTAGACCAGGCTGGCCTCGAACTCACAGAGATCCGCCTGGCTCTGCCTCCCGAGTACTGGGATTAAAGGCGTGCGCCACCACCGCCCATTTGTTTTTATTTTTCTTAATCACGTAAATGTGTGTTCATGTCTGTGTATGGATATGTGCATATGAGTGCAGGTGCCCATGGAGGCCACAGGAGGAAGACAGATCCCCCAGGGTTGGAGTTATAGGTGGTTGTGAGCTGCCCAACATGGATTCTGGGAACCAACTGAACTCGGATCCTTTGCAAGAGCATGGTCTTAACCACTAAGAAATCTTTCCAACCCTAAGAAAGAAAGAGAGTCTGGTTTGGTGGTACAGACCTTTAATTCCAGCATTCAGGAGGTTTGGGCAGGAGACTCAGGACATTAAGGCCAGCCTGGGCTACAAAGCAAGTCCAAAGTTAGTCTGGGCTCATAAGCCTTCACCTCAAAAGACAAAAACAAACAAACAAACGTAGGAAGCCAGAACCAACAAATTCAAATTTAAAAGCTATGGGTTTTGGTTTTTGTTTGTTTTCATTTTTGAGACAAAGCTTGTCTGTGTAGCCCAAGCTGGCCTTGAATTTAAGATGCTGCCTCAGCCTCTCGAATGCTGTAATTACAGGTTGTTGTGGTGATATATTGTTTGTAATCTAAGAAATGAAACTTGCCTGAAGATCAGAAGACAGAGCCAGCCGCAGAATTAGCCACAGGGGTCAGGCAGTGGTGGCACACACCTTTACTCCTAGCACTTGGGAGGCTAGATTTCTGTGAGTTCAAGGCCACACTGGGCTACACGAGATTTATCATCCAGTCTAAAAGAGAAACAGAACCGGCAGAGATGGCACACATATTTAATTCCAGCACTTGGGATCACACACCTTTAATCCCAGCACTAGGAAGGTTGAGACAGGAAGTGATAAGGCTGGGCAGAGAAGGGAGTATAAGGCGGGAGGAGACAGGAACTCTGGCTCTTTCAGGCTGAGCAGTTGGTGAGGTAGTAATAGTGGTGGCTGTGGCTTGCTCTGCTTCTCTGATCTTTCAGCTTTCACCCTGATAGCTGGCTCCAGGTTTTTTAATCATAAGACCACTTAGGATTTCGTGCTACAAGCTGCTTCCCTGATGCCTTGCTGGATTCCCTTCCCAATTCCTGGAAAAGGAAGCAGTGGTGTCCATGTCCCTTCTCCTTGTCATCTTACAGGACCTTGTTGATAACTGACACCCCTGTGGCCTATTACAACTATTCGAGTGTTGGAACCTTCACGGTGAAAGTCAGGGTCGTGGCAGAATGGGAGCAGACAAAGCCGGATGCCGCGAAGGGCACCGTGCAGAGGAGCGGCGACTTCTCAGCTTCCTTAAAGCTTCGGGGTAGGTCTCCCGCCAGGTTGGCTGTACCCGAGGCACCCCGGACAACACTCCTTCCAGATCCAAGTGACTCTGGGCTAGCATCAGGCTGCACTTGAATGGATATTCTCGAAGCCATCCCTACTGTAAATGTCTGCTCCAGAGAGTCCACTCAAGGCCACAGAGTCACACAACTACTCTGTAGCAGAGCTGGCATGTGAGTCCAGGTCATCCTGTCCCCAGAGCCTCAGCCTGACCAGACACCTACCACAGGGAGTGGTAGGGATGCTCCTTATTCTTTAGTCACTACAGTTTCAGATCAAAGCTGGCTAGGGAGAGTGGGAAGCTTCTATCTGGTTACCTGGCATTGGGCAGTTTTCAGAGATTTCTTTGTAAATGTGTCTATGTGGGGGTGAGGGGATGTGCATGATGTGCACGTGAACCTGAGTCCATGCTTAATGTGTGTGTGTGTGTGTGTGTGTGTGTGTGTGTGTGTGTGTGTGTGTGTAGGTGAGTATGCATGTGTGTGCATTTGCTTGTGGAGGTCACAGGAAAGCCTTTGAGTTTTCAGATGCCCTTCACCTTTTTAAAATTGTTTTTGACAGTGTCGTCCTGGCTGGCCTGGAACTCACAGAGATAGGTCTATCTCTGCCTCCAAGTGCTAGGATAAAAGGAGTGAGCTACCACTCTTGGGTCAACAACCTTCTTTTGTTACAAGCGTTTCTCACTAGCCTGGAGTTCACTTCGTAGGTTAGCCTGACTAGCCAGTGACTTCCAGGGATCCACACATCTCTACCTCCCCAGCTCTGAGATTTCAACCAGGTGTCGCTGTACCCAACATTTTTTTTTTCAGGTACTGAGGGTGGAATTCAGTTCCACACTTTACCCACTGTTCTATTTGGGTCTCTGTTGCTGTGATAAAACACTGGCATGGCAGGCATTGGTGGTGCACACCTTTACTCTGAGCATTCAGGTGGCAGATGGATCTCTGAGTTCGAGGTCAGCCCGGTCTACAGAGCGAATTCCAGGACGGCCAGGGATGCACAGAGAAACCCTATCTCGAAAACAAACAAGAGAAACAACAACAACAAAATCAACTAAAAGCAACTCAGGGGATGAAAAGGTTTATATGGCTTACACTCCAGGTTGCAGTCTATCACTGAGAGAAGTCAAGAACTCAAGGCAGGAGCCTGAAGGCAGAACTGCTTACCATTCCACACACCATTACCTCTAACCAGGGAATTCATGTCAAGGAAGTACAGCAGAAACTATGGAGGCTTGCTGTATGGCAGCTCACTCACTAACACGTGCTCAGCTAGCTTTCTCATACAGCCCAGGACCACCTGCCTAGAGAATGGTGCTGCCCACAGTGGACTGGGTCCTTCCACAATCCATCACAGAGATGCCCACAGGCTAATCTGATCTGGGCAATCCCTTAATGGAGACTCCCTTCTCAGGTGACAAGTTGACAGAGTTAACTAACTAGGACATCAAATGAGCTGTCTCTCCAGCCCTTGGGAGGATTTCCTTGCCTCTGGTAATGGCTGGCGCTTTTCTTGTAGCATAGTCAATGGTTTAGTGACAGTGGGTAAGAGAGTGGGTGAGAGGCAAGGACGTAGAGGTGACCATGTAAGCTAAGGGGCTGTGCACCTTGTGTTAATCCTCAGCCACTGGGTCTAATGGGTTTCTCTCTCCTTACAGAGGCTCTTCAAGGCATCCAGGTCTTGGGGCCCACCCTCTTGCAGACATTCCAAAAGTTCACAATGACCATGAACTTCCTCGGGAGGTGAGTGAACCCGAAGAGTGATGAATGGGTGTTCCGTGGCCTCTCTAGACCACGAATCGCTCCACAGATCCTGCTCTGACCCTTAAAGAGCTTAGGTTTCATGGGAGAATGGTACCTTCCTGTCCTGTGGCTATGAACTGGGGAAGAACTGTGGCCATAGTTCTTTTGTTGTTGTTTTTTTTTTTTTTGAGTTCTGCATCTGGAATGTTGAGCTGTATTAGTTAATTTTTTCCTTGCTGTGACAAAATACCCATCCAAAGCAACCTAAGGAAGGAAGGGTTTATTTGGGCTCACAATTCATGGTGGGGAGGCATAGCAGAAGGATCTTTAGATGCCTGGTCATGTGACATCCACAGACAGGAAGCAGAGAGTGATGAATGCCAGTGATCAGCCTGCTTTCCCCTTTTTATTTAATCCAGGACTGTAACCCACTGAATGGTGCTGTCTACATTCAGGGTGGGTCTTCCCACCTTAATTAACCTAACCTAGAAACCCCATCGCAGACATGCCCAGAGGTTTGTTTACATGGTGATTCTAAGTCCTATTAAACTGATAGTTAAGATGAACCATCACATGGACCAGGGGAGCCTGGTATCCTGTATGGAAAGGACTCTGAAGTTTCTGCCCCAGTTAGCTTCCCTGGGCTTGGTCAGGCTCCTGCTCCTTCCCAAGCCATTTTGAAAATGTGTATCTGTTCTTCTGTAGCCCGCCTCTGGAGGTGTGCTGGGGCCTCAAGCCACAGTGTCTCCCACTCGAGGACAGAGAGTGCCACTCTGTGTTGGTGACCAGCACATCTTTTAACCTGAGCCACGTCTTCCAGGACCCTGGGGACTACTGCTTCATCTTCCGTGCTGAGAATGTCATCAACAAGGCTCACCAGTTCCACAGGATTCAGGTGTGGCCCTCCAGTAAGTGACACCTTGCCTTCTGGGGGCAGTGCCATTACTGGCATCAAAACCCTGCCACCACCTCTGGTGACCAGCCGAGCACTTGGTAGCCAATCCTACCAAGGCCATCAAGAATTGACTCCACCAGCGCTAAGGTCATGAGTAGTTTTCCTAGGTAAAGAAACAGCCCACATTTCAGTGACCAAATGCTAAAACCACCACCCCCACCACCCCCATGCCCACTCCCCACGCTCTGCCAACATCGTCATCACCAGACTCCACCAACAACCAACACTCCCATCTCGGCACCAACTCAAAACTCTACCATTATTATCCTGAACATCCTGCTAACCAACAACAAACTCTACAGTGGCACGCTACCACCTCAGTCCCACCACCAACTCCACCAACACCATCTCCAGCACTCGGTCAACTTCAGCACCAACACCAGACACCACCAGAATCATCCTTGACCATCTACCAGTCTAGGCATCACTACTGAACTCCACCAATGCACTCACACTCTGCCCATCTCTATACCACCACCAACTCTTTACCAACAGCAGTGCCACCACCAAATTCCATCCCACTATCCCTAACACTCCACCAACTCCATCACCCTCACTAAATACTATTTACAGTACTCCACCCACCCCAGCACCACCACCGCCACCAAATTCTGCCAGTACAATCCTTAACACTCTACCAACCTAGTAACACAGCCGCCATCAACTCTGCCAACACCTCCATGAACATCAGTATATTAAAGAGTAACAATGAAGTCAGCTCCCCACGTGCTCCCCATTCCTCATTGCCGTCATCATTTCTGCTCCCTCTATTCTCTGGTCTCTTTCTGAACCCCGAGAACTCTACCCCTGAAGGACCTCATGGGCCTCATTGGGTACCTTGGCCTCTGCTAGCTCCAACATGCTCTGATGAATGTCCAGAACCCCATGAATTCTGTGAAGAAGATACTAGTCCAGGGCTGGGGAGAGAGCTCAGTGGGTAAAATACTTTCTGTACAAGCATGAGGCCCCGAGTCCCGATCCCCAGAATACATAAAAGCAGGATGCAACAGTCTATGTCTGTAACCCCGGCTCTCCCAGCATCCCTCAGTACCTGTGGCTCCTCTCAACACTCCTCACCACGCCCCCTATTCTAAGCCCCTCCCTCCCAGGGGCGGGGCTTCCGTTTCCCTTCCTCCAGCCTGATCCCTATAACTCACCCATTTTGGTCTCTTGGTCTCTTGGCCCTGGTTGCCTCTCTTGCTTCTTCAGAGCCAGAATTTGGGGCGCAGTCAGGAAAGTGCTTGCCTTGCAAGCATGAGGATCGGAGTTTGGTCCCCAGAATCCTTGTAAAAAGCTGAGTATAGCTAGGAGGCAGGGTCAGGAGCTGGCAGCCTGGCCTGCTTGCTGAAGGTCTTGATCCTGTTTCAAACAAAAAGCCAAAGGAACCCAAGGAACAACATTTGAAGTTGTCCTGATTTCCATGCGCACACACACCTGTGCACACATACATACCTGCACATAATATATCCACATACTTACAAACACACACACATAAAACCCAATATTAAAAAAAAACTTATGTATTTATTGTATGTGCCTTTTTTTTTTTTTTTTAGACAGGATTTCTTTGTGTAGCCCTGGCTCTCCTGGAACTCTCTCTGTAGACCAGGCTGACCTCAAATTCAGAGATCTGCCTGCCTCTGCCTCCTCGGTGCAGGGACTAAAGGCATGTGCATCACCGCCACCCAGCTGTTGTGTGTGCTTGTATATGTGCGCCATGACACACACGTGGAGGCCAAGGGACAACTTTGAGGAGTCAGTTATCTCCTTCCATCATCGTGTTCACGCCTGGGATGGAGCCCAGGTCACCAGGCTTGGCAGTACCTGCCTTTAGCAGCAAACCAGTATTTCAACACCAGCTCTCCAGTCATCTCCTCCTCCTCTCTCCCTCCCAGGCTTGCAGCCGATTGTCTTCGCTTTCCCGTGCGCCACGCTGATCACTGTGCTGCTGGTTTTCATCATGTACATGACTGTGCGGAGTGCTGCTCAACAGAAGGACCCAACGGAGGTAAGCGCTCTGCCGGTTGGAGGCTAGACCACTGAGCTGGGTGTGGTAGGCCAACCAGAATGTCTGGAGGGAGTCTTGCTAATGATGCACCAAAGAGACATGGGTAGACTGGGTAGTAGAATTGCTGAGTTAGCTGGTCTCCCATCTGACTGTCTCCTTTATGCTGAGCTCTCAAGCCCACCGAATGGGCTGGTGGAGGAGGCTCCCAGGGGGGTGGTAATTGACCCAAGGGGTTTTATTCACCAGAGGTGGCTGATTTTGACTTTCCTCCTATATCTGACAAGAGTCCGGAGATGACCGGGCTCAAGTGCTGCTGCCAGCTGTGCTGTGGATCCCTCTTTCTGGAATCACCGTCCGAATACCTGGAGATTGTCCGAGAGAACCACGGGCTGCTTCCACCCCTCTACAAACCTATGAAAACGTACAACGTGTGAACTCCCCACACCCATACCTCTCAGTGTTCGCTGATCACCCATTGGGAGCTGCGGGGCCGGGTGGCATATGCTACTGAGCAGGAGGGGTTCACCCAGGTGTGGCCATTTGCCCAGACTGGTCATGGCTCTGTACAGTCCAGTTGTTGTGATACGTCCTTTGTGTCATCCTCCCAGCTGTCATCTCATCTGTACACTCTAGTCACTGCTGTGAGCTTTCCCCCGTCACCCTCCCACCCTCTCCCGAGCAGGATTCTGATGTTTGGTGTGCTCTATTAAGACTCTTCCACGTGGACCTGGATGCCCCTTGCCCATTGCTTTCATGTTAGTACATCTGTGACTCACTGGGGATTCATGAGGCCTTCAGCAATGCAGCTCCGCTCGAACCAGAGAGAGCTAGGAAGGAGGTCACAGATGGTTAAGGATGCATAGTGGAAGGTAACCCACACTCAGATGGGCACACTTACAGCAAGGAGGGATCCACATGGATGTGATGGCGCAGCTCAGATGATCTGCTGTGTATCTCCAAGGCTCATTGCCGCGATGGACCTGAACCAAAACTCAAATGCAACACCTGAGCCTGGCCCTTTGTCTTTTGTCCCTGCAGTTCCATTACCAGGTCGTTCTGTTCCCTGCCTGCTTGCCGGAAGCTGGGTAGTGGTGGTGGTGGTGGGCGGGGTGAAATGAACACCGGTGAGTGTAGAATGCTCTATAAATTAATCGTCTTTCACCGAAACCCGTAAGATCAGTGTCCACTGAGAAAAAAAAAAAAGAGTTGGAGCAAAAAGAAAGGTTTGCTAGTGAGGACTTGAGCGATCTCTCTCTCTCTCTCTCTCTCTCTCTCTCTCTCTCTCTCTCTCTCTCTCTCTCTCTGTGTGTGTGTGTGTGTGTGTGTGTGTGTGTGTGTGGCACCTTACCCACTCAGTTGCTCCCAAGGTAGCAGAAGAAAGAATCAGGAGTCAAAAGATACCTTGAAAGATTATAAGTAGAAGCCTGGTGTGGTGACGCACACCTTTAATCCCAGCACAGAGGAGGCAGAGGCAGGTGGATCTCGGAACAGAGTTCAAGGTCAGCCTGGTCTACATAATGAGTTCAACAACATTCAGAGCTGTATAGGGAGTCCCTGCCTCAAAAAAAGAAAGGAAGGAAGAAAGAAAGAAAGAAAAAAACAAAGAAAGAAAGAAAAAGAAAGGGAAGAAAAGAAGGAAGGGGAAGGGAAAGGAAGAAAGAAAGAAAGAAAAGAAAGGGAAAGAACAAAGGTGGGTAAGTAGGTACAGATGTAAGCATCCAGGCTTACCTGTTTACCTAGCACACTAGGGCAGCCTGCACCTGCTGGAGGAGGGTGGTCAAGACTGTAAAGGTAGCTCTCTGTCACTGTAACTGTTGGTTGGCCCTTGGACATCCTGCTGAACTAGTGTTCTCTCGTGTACCGCTCATTCCCATGACATACTGCCATTGTCCCTGAATAAAAGCTTCCTCAAGCGCAGTCTGTGCGGCAGAGTATTTTTGTCCCCTGTGTGTCCACGAAGCTTTGTAAATGATGCTTGGGAGCAGCGGGCTACCCTTTCAGGCATTCTGCGAGGATGTTAGAGGTGCGATGACCCAGTGTTGGTGCCTTTCCTCGTCGCCATTAGAACACCTGACCAAAGTGACTTGAGGAAGGCGTGCCAAGGCAGACAGTCCATCATGGCAGGGAAGGTGTGTCAAGGCAGATAGTCCTTCATGGCAGGGAAGGCGTGGCAGCAGAAGCGGGAGGCAGCTGCTCACTTTTCCTTTTTAAAATTCAGTCCATGGGTCCATGGGATTGTACCCACGTTCCCAGAGGGTCTTCTCTTCTTGTTGAGTCTCTCTGAAAATGCCCTCACAGGCTTGTCTCCTCGAGGCTTAAGTCCATCAAAGGGACAGTCAAGATGAACCATTCCAGGCCCCCAAGGAGAGAGCTGAGCTGGGAAAACGCTTTCCTTGAGACCCGGAGTTCGATTCCCAGAGCCCATGTTTTAAAAACAAACAAAGCCAGGCATGGTGGCATGTGTTTGTAACCCCTGTGCTGAGGAGGCAGAAACAGGATCCTCAGGGCTCACTCATTGGCCGGCTAGTCTAGCTGAACCAGCAGTCTCCAGGTTAGTGAGAAATGGGGTCTCCAGAAACACAAGGTGGAGAGCTATTGGGAATGAGGCCTGAGGTTACCCTTTAGTTTAACCTTCAACCACACATATATGCACACATGTGCACGAGTATTCACATAGGCAAACATTCACATACATATTCGTATATAGAAATACTTATTAGAATTTTAATATAATTGCTTTCCTTTACAATACTACTTTATTATGCTTTTGAAAAACAACAGCTCTTTGAGTTGTTACTTAGAGGTCATGTGTCCTTTCTGGTGGTTCCCTTTGCCCAGCCTTGGCCAAGTCCAAGAGTCAAGATGGGCACAGACTCCCAATGTACCCCCACAGCTGCAGCACCTGCCTGAAGACTTAGCAAAATGCTGCACATGCATGCATACTCCCACTCTCACTCCCACTCCCACAGGGGAGATAGCCAGCCTGGTAATCAGCTTCTGGAACGTTCAGCCCCTTCTAGGACAGAACAGTTTAGAATCTCTAGCACTCTTATAAAAGGCCAGGCATGGCTGCACATGTGCCTATAACCCAAGTACTGTGTGGGTGGGAACAGGAAGATGACTGCCAGCTGCCAGCCTGGCTCCAGGTTCAGTGAGAGACTCATCTCAAAAGAAAAAGGCAAACAGTGATAGAGCAGGACTGCTATGGAATAATCATCTTGTACACTGTAAAGATTTGTCACTCAAATTGGTTTAATAAAATGCTGATTGGCCGGTAGCCAGGCAGGAAGTATTGGGGGGGGGGAGGCAACCAAACTAAGGGTACTGGGATGAAGAAGGGTGGAGTTGAGAGAGATGCCAGCAGGCTTAGGGGAAACAGGACGTGTAGAAAATGAGGTAACAAGCCATGAGCCACATGGCAGAGGGTAGATAAGAAATACTGGTTAATTTAAAGTGTAAGAGTTAGCTAGTAATAAGCCTGAGCTATCAGCTGAGCATTTATAATTTATATTAAGTCTCTGAGTCAGTTACTTGAGAAGCAGCTGCTGGTTATTTGGGAGCAGGTGGTCAGGACAGGAAAACTCCATCTACACAGGACAGCCAATGAACATCTTTCTTTGGCCTCCACAATCACACATGAATACAGGTATCTATGCACAACAGCAGGGTATGGGACTCTGGTTTCAGGAGAGGCAAGATATGGAACCCAGATAGAAAGGACAGCTCTACTCATGCCTCTGTGGGACAGCCTGGCCATGACCGGTCTTCTGGCCCCATGTCTGAAACCCAGATGCCCACAAGGATCAGGGGTGTTCTGACTTCTGTCTTGTTTTTACAAAACCTCAAATTTCCATCTTTATGATGTATTTTTTGTGTGTGTGCTGGAAGATGCCCCTTGCAGAAAGCCCACTGGGCTGTGTGGTTTACTTTCTGTCTTAGTTAGGGTTAGTATTGCTGTGATGAAATACCATGATAAAAAAGCAACTTGGGTGGGAGGGTTTATTTGGCTTACACTTTCATACGACAGTTCATCATCAAAAGCCAGGAGCCTGGAGGCAGGAGCTGATGCAGAAGCCATGGAGTAGTGCTGCTTACTGGCTTATTCCACATGGCTTACTCAGCCTGCTTTCTTTTAGAACCCAGGACCACCAGCCTAGAGATGGCCCTACCCACAATGGCCTGGGCCCTCCCCCATCAATCACTAATTAAAAAAAGGCCTGGGCCCCTGAGCCAGCAGTGGCTGACCAACTCAGCTACCATCGGGCTCAGATCCAGTGCTTTGAGCCAGTCCACCCCAACATCTACCCAATCTACGAGCTGCTGGAGTGCGTGAAGAAGCCAGTCATGCAGAACCAGAGTTGCAGGATCACCATGACTACGGCAACATCAGGATTAAAAAAAAAAAAAGACAAGTCTCAGCCATGGTCCAATGTTTATGGTGCTTCAGAAGCCAGACACCTTGAACCAGACCAAAGACTCAATGCAATGAATATTTGCATGCAAAGCTATCTGGGATATATATAGTGACACACTTCAGTTTCCAGTGCCATTACGAAGAAGGGACATTCGATGGAGAGGAGGGAAAGATGGAGAAACAGAACAGTGAGTGGTGGAGGGCGGTGGAACTAGAGACACGATGGCAGTAATAGGTGTGAGAGAAGCCTGTGGCAGACAGGGGACATGTCCTGGCCAAGTAGGGCCAACAGGGTGGTGTGCAGCAGCCTGGAGCTTGCACCCTGATTAAACACCGCTCAGCTGCATAATTACCCGGGTTCTAAGCAGCAACGGGATGTCCAAGATGAAGCACAGTTCATTTTCTGGATTGGACCTCCTCGAAAAACCTCTATGGCCTATGCTGTCCTTGGAGGTACACTTTGGTATCTGTGGTCTGCTGATCCTAACCATATTGAAGCCCAAGGTTCATGTGGATGTCTCTAGTCCTACAGCAGCTGGGAGCTGTGTTCATGTCCCTGGCCCTACCACCTAAAGTCATGTTGATGTCTGTGGGTCATGCTGCCACCGAGGGTTACGTCAGCATCTGTGGTCCTACTGCAGTTGGGTCTGTATTGATGTTTGTGGCCCATGTTACCACCAAAGGCGATGAGTATGCCCGTGGACTGTGCTGCAACCTGAAGCCATGTTGCTGTCCACGGGCTGAGCGGCCACTGAGGGCCACATTGGTTGAGCTGCCACTGAGGCCATGTTGATGTCCTTGACCTGTGCTGCTGCCTTACGGCTCTGATGTGTCTGTGGACGGTGCAGCAGCAGACAGTTGGACTGTGTTGTTGATGTCTGTGATCTGTACTGCTACCAGAGACTATGCTGAGAGGTCCATGGCACGTACTGATGCTGGAGATCATGTGGATGTCTGTGCTCCATGCTGTCTCCAGAAACCATGTGGAAGTTCAGGATCCGTGCTCCCGCTGGCTGTGAAGGACAAGGAAGCTTCTTCTGTAGTGGTATTGATGACTGCAGACTCACAGCTGAGAAAGAGGGACATAGAAGGCATCTGTGACAACCCCCTATAGCCACCCCACCCTACCCTCCAAGAAAAGTAACAGCCTAGAGAATTGGATTTTTTGAGACAGGGGTTCTCTGTGTAGTTTTGGTGCCTGTCCTGGATGTCAGTCTGTAGACCAGGCTGGCCTCGAACTCACAGAGATCTGTGCTGGGATTAAAGGCATGCACCACCACCACCCGGCTAGAGAACTCTTTAAAATTGTGGTAAGGATATTGAGGTGTAGCTCTTCATAACTGATGGGAGTGTGGGTAGGGAAGGAAGGACTCAGTTTCATTTAAGATGCTGGCCACAGGAGTTTGGCCATGCCCCAGGGAGTATATGAGTAACACAAATTGGACTTGCTTTTTTTTTTTCTTCTTTTTGTGTGTGTGTGGGGTAGATCATAAGAGTTGGGGAGCCAGATCTGGAAGATTGGGAAGTGAGTGTGCTTGGGGGTTGGGTCATGATGTGAAGTTCCCAAATAATCAATAAAATATTATGAAATTAAAAAGAGAGAAAATGCCCTACAAGCATGTCTGCAGTCTGATCCTGTGAAGGCATTTTCTCAGCTGTGACTCTCTCCTCTCAGATGGTTCTAACTTGTGTCAAACGGACACAAAACTAGCCAGCACAGGTTCCATCGAAATGGCCCCCAACGTTTGTCTCCAGCTCAGACAATACCCTGAGCCCCTGGTGAACCTATCTATGTTTGGCTCACCCTTTGGCTTCTTGACTTCTCACATCTGATTCCACTCTACCCCAAACCTGTCCCCAAAGTTGGAACCTTCTGCATAATCCAAACCTCTCACCATCTGATTCCTCCAAGAAATCCCAGTGCAATTCCAGGAATGGACACCAGGGGGTGCTACAAGTTTTTGCAAGATGCCACAGAAGGCCCCCCCCACCCCCATAGTAGGGGACGAACTTTCTTCTACTCCTAGTCCTTGAGTATTTATTTGGTTTTTGAGCCAAGGCTTAGTTCATCTGCAGCCATGCTCTTTCCCCGACTATTGATCGGCTCATTCCTTCTCAAATCCCCAACGACTCCCAGGATTTTCAGCACTAATCTAAATTCCTAGGATCCAACATTGAGTCAGGATTTCTTTGTCTGAGTTGGAGACTCCAGTCCAAGATTGGGTGAGCTGTCTTGCTTTGGGTCTCTGGTGAGGTGCCAAAGACTTATGGTGAGAAATACATGGCAGAGTAAATGGCCCTTGCCATGCCTAGAAAGCAAGAGAGAAAGACATGGAGTGCCGCCATCCCTTCTGAGAGCTTGCTCCAATAACCCAAGGGCTCTCCCACTGGGTTCTTCTTCCCAATAACCTCACTCTGGGAAGTAAGGGTGGTTCTGTGAGGTGGCTCAGTTGCTTGCCTGGCGTGCACGATCCCCTGTACCCCATAAGCCAGGCATGGTGGA